TACATACATACATACACATACACACACACATTCATATACAGTCATATATATGCATCTTTCCATCTATCTATCTAATATACAGAGACATATATCACCCATATACATATATACAACTATATAGATACATATATATATATATATATATATATATATATATATATATATATACACATATAAAAGACAGACACAGAGACCTAACACAAACACGCTCAGAACGACGAACTAACGGCCACCAGGCGTGAAGAACGGTGGGGAGGGGGAGGGGGGAGGGGAGTGGTGGAAGGGGAGGGGGGGGGGGGGAGGAAATGCAGTCGAATAGGCCGACGCAGCACCGGAAGGAAGCGCCGACTCCCGTTCTCGTTCCGCGTTCGGTTCCTCGACCGGGTGGGGCCGAAAACAAGCGGTGGGGTGGGGGAGGGGGGAGGGGGGAGGGGGAATAATTGGGGGTTGGGATGGTGCTGTGTGGGAGACTGTGTGTGGGGGGAGGGGGGGGTAATTGGGGGTTAGGGTGGAGTGAGGGGGAGGGGGGAGTTGTGTGATACACGGGGGAGAGAGAAGGAAAAGATGAGAGAAGAGAGGACACAGAAAGGGGGAGTGGGGGGGAGGGCAGAATGGGTTAAGAAGGGTGAGGGAGGGAGTGGTGAGAGGGAGGGACGGGAGGGAGGGAGGGAGGGAGGGAGGGAGAGGAGAGGAGAGGAGAGGAGAGGAGAGGAGAGGAGAGGAGAGGAGAGAAGTGAAGTAAAGTAAAGTAAAGTGAAGTGAAGTGAAGAGAAGAGGAGAGAGGAAGGGAGAAAGGGAGAAGTTAAGGGAGGAGTTTTGATTTGATTAGACTGTTTATTGATATAAAGTTATAAATCACAAGGAGTCGGCAGCATGCAAACTGACGACTTCCATTCTGAGCACATTAACTGGATAAGTGGAAAGTTGGGGGAGGGGGGGAGAGCGGGAGAGGGAGAGGGAGAGGGAGAGGGAGAGGGAGAGGGGAGAGAGAGAGAGAGAGAGAGAGAGGAGAGAGAGAGAGAGAGGAGAGAGAGAGAGAGAGAGAGAGAGAGGGAGAGGGAGAGGAGGGAGGGAGGGAGGGAGAGAGAGAGAGAGAGAGAGAGAGAGAGAGAGAGAGAGAGAGAGAGAGAGAGAGGGAGAGGGAAAGGGAGAGGGAGAGGGAGAGGAGGGAGAGGGAGAGGAGGGAAGAGGGAGAGGGAGAGGAGGGAGAGGAGAGGGAGGGAGAGGAGAGAGAGGGAGAGGAGGGAGAGGGAGAGGAGGGAGAGGGAGAGGAGGGAGAGGAGGGTGAGGGAGAGGAGGGAGAGGGAGAGGAGGGAGAGGGAGAGGAGGGAGAGGGAGAGGAGGGAGAGGGAGAGGAGGGAGAGGGAGAGGAGGGAGAGGGAGAGGAGGGAGAGGGAGAGGAGGGAGAGGGAGAGGGAGGGAGGGAGAGAGAACCGAGTGAATTAATGTGCGACGGAGTTCGAGTGAGTGAATGAGAGTGAGTAAGCGAGTGAGTAAATAAGTGATCGAACGAGCGTGTTCAACCTGCCTCCCCCGACGAAAAAACAAACAAAACGTGATATTAAAAGACGAAAAAAGCCCAAGAATATCCCGCTCCCTGGGTACCCACAGGCCCAACAGCGGAAGATAAACACGACGACGACAGACAGACACCAGCCATCCAACCACCCCGCCCGCCCGGACCGCCCTCCCACGCCCACGCCCACCGAGGCCCGGGCGTGAGGCGTGCTACAGGAGCGAGTGGGCGAGCCGGGCGGCGCGGCCACTGGACTGTGTCAGGTAAGCTCACCCACCGGAAACAGGTGAGGTTTCCCGTCCGCGGAGCATCTTTGGAAGCAATTACACCCGCCCCGTCATCGCCCTCCTCGCCACGTGGGGGGGGGGGGGGGGACTCGGCTGGGCCATTCGGGGAGAGAATTCGCGACAAGGGATGAATGGGAGGTAATGGGGAGGAGATAACGCCGACGGCACCGCGCGCCCCTCGCCCCAAGGCACGTGCATGCAAGTAGCCAAAGTTGCACTGCCGGGGGAGGGGCGGCGCCGGGTGGGGGCTGGGGTGGGAGAGGGAGGAAGAAAGGGAGGGAGGGGGGGAGGGAGGGAAGGAGGGGGGAATAGAAGCAGGTTGTCAAACTTACCTTGAATTAGGGTAAGATGTGGGCGAGCGGGGGCGACACACTGGGTAATCCTCACGTTTGAACTTTTATGCTTATTTTCTTTTCTTTTTTTTCTTAAAGCACTTTGTTATCACTTAAAAGTAATCACAACCTTACAGAGGGCCAGGCCGGTGCTTCATCGCCTTAACACTCTAAACCAAAGGAGTTTCGCACCGAAAGGCCCAGCTCGAATGACTAGGAATGGAGAAAAAGCAGGGTGCTGCTAACTAGACCCCGAGCATAAAACTAGCAAACTTTCCACGGGTCGTCTTAATTAAATGACGATTTCCTTTTTTTTTTAACTCTTTTTTTTCTTCTCTCTTTGGTTTCGTCGAGCAGAGTCGCTT